AGAGGATCTGAGAGAAAACCATTCACTGGAAACCAAACAAAATCCAAAATAAGTTTGCCATAGAACAATGTGTGGTCTGGACCATATACTAAGAGCTCACTGATTTTTAGTCCAAGTCAGAAACAAAAAGGCAACATTTTGAGTGCTCTCTATATACAGCTTTGTTACTCTATGAAGGTGTATATCTATCTTGCCTTCTGATCTTTTGAGACACACATATTTAACAGAAAGCCCCTCAGCTTTATAACATCCTAAAGATTTTCAGACCTTTCAAATCTTGCTGGGGTCACTTGATCCCAGCTGACTTCCTGCCTATGGCGTGGGGGGCTGGACCCAGTGATCTCATGAAATCCCTTCCAGCCCCTAATGTCTATGAAATCTCATTTTGCCACCAGGGCATTGAGGTTTGGCTCACAGCTTGGCACCTTCATTTGGGCACCATAGCTTGATGGAAGGTCCTACAGCCATATACTCTGTGAAGGTCAGAAGATGACAGAAAAGGATTTGGAGCAAATCATTATGCTTACATGTTATGGGAATAAGAGACATATATCTGAGGACCCTTCATAGAAGACTTAAGTATTTAGCAAGACCTAATATGCTCATCTGCGGTAAGGTAGACACAGGTTTGCAGCAGAGGCAGAGAAGTTAAATGAGTTACTTAAGGCCACACAATATGTCAGGTTCTTTGAGATGCAAATTTAGTATAAACATAGGCCATCCATGATCAACCGAGACCCGGGGGCTCCTCTACCTGGGGACAATCTGGAGGGTTAATTCAGATTAATTTTCAAACTGTAGTGAAAGATTAATTCAGAATTAAAGTGGCTTTAATTTGATTGATCTTACTTCACTTTGGAAGATTTAGTTTAATTCACTTCCATAGCTAAAGCTAATCACCTTTAAATACATGGCTTAAATTAATTCAAACTAACTTTGCCAAAGTATCCCTTTGGTAAACAAACCCCAGAGAATCAAAGGAGCACCCATGATGCCAATTGATCTTCCTGTTAAGTAGTCCCTAACAAAGGCTTAAAGACAACTACTTCACTCTGACTCCTACAAAGTGCCAAGAGCTGGCTAATTCCACAATGATTTTACCTCCCAGGCTGAGATTAGGCAGTGTTGATTTGCCTCAGTTGTCCAAGGGGGTCTGAAGCAACAAACATCACCCAGCTGACAAAACAGTTGCCCCAGATTTGCCACTAGGAGTTAGCAGAGAGGCAGCATTTGGGCTTTCAGCCTTTTTCCTTTGAAAGCCATTTTTGGCTTGGGTGTACAGGCAAAATCATTAGGGCTAAGGACAGGCATTACACATAAACTTGTTTAAGTGATCAGAAACTGGTTTAAACCTGTAACAGAACAGATGCCCTGTGCACAGAAACCAGTTGAAAATGGCTGAAACTGGTTTGAGATCAACCTGGTTGAATGTAGTATCAGACTTAACTGATTTGTGTCAAATTGGTTTATGCAATGTCTGTCCCAGACCCCTTCCTGGTTTAACTTAAACCAGAGTTCCCCAGCATCCCAGATGCTTTGCAGCCCTGTGCTGTGCTCCAGCTGCCTAGCTCCCTGGCTAGAGCTCCTGTGCAGACTGCAGGCACAGCAGTGTCTGCCTAGCTTCCCCTTGCCCCCTCCTCACCGCTCGCTGCTCAAGCAGGGATTCCCCACCCTCCCCTCTCCCACAGTATGAACTGTAGCCAGCATGTGGTATGCTAGCTAATGCTGAGAGGTGTCTGTGTAAGGCAGACAGGACAAAGGCAGACAGGACAGTGTTGGCTTAGGGCTTTTTGGAGCTAACCAACAGGTAGCTGGTAAAGTCCCTCTGTTCCTTCCTTGGAAAAAAGCTGTTTAAGAAGAGCTTGAACTAATGAGAGTCTTTTGTTTTCTTGCTGGGGTGCTAAATGCTGTGTTATCAACTTCCTGCTGGCTCCCTTGTTGGTCAGAAGCAGCAGGGGGTGGGGCAGAGGGGAACCCCTCCCTATTCAGAGCATCCTGCCAGGGCCTAGCCACATCCCCTCTCAACTCAGCACTGTAGAAGGGAAGGGAGGGCTGCTCTAGTGCCCCCTGGCTTCCAGCCTGAGCCACTGCAGGCATGAACCTGCATTTTCTCAGTCCAGAGGGAATGGCTGTCCACTTGCAAACCGGTTCAGCCTAGCCAGGTTAGACTAACCTGCAAAGATTGAATCAGTTCAGACTCAGGCATTTTGAATGTCTGTTCCTAGCCCAGAAGAGAGGAGTGGAAGGTCAGGGAAAAGGGAGATTTAATTTCTTCAGATAAGGCTACTGACAAGGAACAAAACAAAACACCTAAGAGCACCTGACAAGAGGCTCAGCCATTGGAATCATGTTATTGTCATGACAGAAGCCAGCTTGGATTGAATTATTGGCTGACATTTGAAAATGAAAAAGCTGAACAGGAACTGATATGCTAGCACAACAGTGAATGAAAAGGCAAAGATGAGTGAACAGCAAGAAGAAGGGAGGATTCATACATGAATGGACAGTGACAGGCAGCTTGAGGCTGCGGGAGATTATCATCTGCATCTGGCCCTATGGAAGAGAAACTTTGAAACAAGAGGCTTCTGCCCACATGCCTATATTCAAATAACACTTGCAAACTATTTCCCTGGGGCTCCTTTCAATGTGAGCCTATTGTCATGACAATAGCAAACAGACTGTATTACAAAACAATCTATCCATCTGGTTATGAACTTTTTGAAGAGGTGTAGAGAGGACAGAGGGAAGAGGTAAGTTAAACCAAGATGGGGCAAGTCTCAGGAAGTTGTCTTCTATAGTGGTGTTTTGTCAGGATACTTGATTTTCTGTGTCTTCAACCAAACGTGTCCGCAGTACAGCCAGTGGATTTACACCCGATCCTAATTAGATCCAGTCTTTCCCCTCCTTCTCAGACTATTCATATTGACAGATTAAAAGACATCTGGTTCAAGCCTTTGTGTTACCTGTAACAGAAAACCCAGATAGAGATGATGCACTTACTGAAAACTGATACTGGTTTAACTAAAATAGATCCATGTTATGCAAAACCTTATTCTAGATATATCTCAGCTGGTTGTTAAGCAATAGTGAAGCTGATTGAAGTGCATCATTTACATTAGAAATTTGCGCTGCATGAACTAGATATACCTTTAATTAATTTCATTACACTGACATGCATTTCCTGGTGCAAGCAGGGCACTGGATTAAGAACAGCTGAGCCCTGACCTACAAACTGTTAAAAGAGTATCAAATGTCTCTTAGCATCAAAACCAAGGAAATAATGAGTTTCAGCTTTTCCAACTTAAAAATGGTTGGGAACACTTTATGATTTACTTTAACTTAATCAAGCTGAGAAATGTACAGAATTATTTCTACAAATAATTAGTTATTGATCTGAAAGTTGCTAGTGAAAGCTGCTTATGAGTAGATCAATTATTCAAGCAACATTAGTTATTTTGGGATTCGTGACACACACAAAGTCATTTTTTGGTTCATTACTGACTATGGATAACACAGCAATTAGGTTTCTGGCAGTGGGAGAATGATGGACAACCTATTACAAGCTCCAAAACTTTTCTCCCCTCCAATAACCATTCTTCAAGGTTTGCTTATTATGTTTTGAATATATTAGTTTGAATCTATTTGAGGTTAAGATGGAAGTTAAGGAAGGTTGCATCATTGCTCCACCACTCTTACTGTGATACTACACCTGACCACCAAGAAGCTTCCAGTTGGAGTGAAGATAAACTACCACATTGATAATATAATCCCAGCTGACTCCAAGCCAAAAACAAGACCACCCTGACCTCAATCATTAAGTTCCAGTACACTGATGATGCTGTAGCCTGTGTTCACTTGGAAGCAGACCTTCAGGCCAATGGTTGATGTCTTTACCAAGGCATGCAAAAAGTGGGACTGATACTTAATATTCAGAAGACTAAGGTCCTCCATGAACAAACTCTTAATGAGCTCCAGTAAATCAGATTCTTGGTGAGACTCTGGAGAACATTGAGTATTTCCCATATTTTGGAAGCCACCTCTTGCAGAAGGCCAATATTGATGAAGAAACCCAACATTGCCTCAAATATGCAAGTGCAGCATTTGAATGCTTGAGGAAATGAATGTTCAAAGATTATGATATCAGATCTGAAACCAAGCTCGTGGTTTTCAAGCAGTCATGTTCTCTACCTTACTTTATGGAGCTTTGTCTCCCGTACGTTGTCCAAGTCTATCTCAAGCCACTGTAGAAGCAGCATCAATGCTGCCTGAGGGAGATTCTTCAAATCCAGTGGAAAGATAGATGCACCAATGTTAGTATCCTCTCACAAGCAACCACCACGAGCATCAAGGTGATGATCACCAGCTTCGCTGGGCTGATTACATCATCTGGATGTCTGACTCCAGATTCCCAAAGCAAGTTTTATTCTCCCAGCTGAGACGAGGTGTATGCTCAAGAGGAGGGCAGAGAAGTATTTCAAACACTTTTTCAAGGCCAGCTTGAAAAAAAATGCAACATCAGTATTAACTCATGGGGTCGCCCAGGACTGCCCCAAATGGAGGAAACGTCTGCTGCAAGTCTCTCAGGGCTTTGAAACCTTATGACAACAGAAGATGGAAAAGCATGTTGCGGACCAAATCAAGAACCCATAGCAACCCACCTCACATGGAAACATGTGCCAGAGCTGCAATAGAGTCTCTCAATCCTGGATAGGCCTCATCAGCCATCTTTGACCTACAGATAAGACAATCATCCTTGCCTGCGAGGGACTGCCGATGATTAGCAACAGGAAAATGAATAGTTTTATGAATTAATATTCATGGGTAATTTGTCTGAAGTTTTTATTCAGCTCTAACTAGCATATTGGTATCAAAATGAACATTTATTTTCTCCTAGACATGCAGATGAGAAGACTATGGCAAAACTTGGTGAGGTGGACAAGTATTCACTGGCCGCGTCTCCATGAGCAGTGGACTGTGCAGTTGTTTCTGTGCAGTAACATCCCAGATGCTACTGACAAAATTGTCAGCTGAGTCAACCTGTCTGGTCCTAAAAGTTGGTGAGTGGAAGATCGCCCCTCAAAGGGTAAGCAGTCAACCTTGACTACGCATGGTTGCTTACAGCAGGGAATCCCCACCCAGCTGCGGGCTCATTCTTAGCTACCCCACTGATGGATTGGGTCAGGGGACAGGGACCTGCCCCTCCCCTGCAGCTCTTTCCAAGCCCCCTGCTCCCCCAGCTGGGGAGCTGGGGCAGAGAGCTCCTTGCTGCTGTGTCAGCGGGACATTGTCCCCAGCTGGGGTCCAGTGGCAGCAGGCAGCTCCCAGGGACAGGGAGCAATCTTCCAGCCCCTGCCAGGAGACAGTTGTCTCCTGGCCTCATGCTCCCTGCCAGCCCCTGGGATAGCACCCAAAGGGTGCCTAGAGATCCCCTGGCTGTTGCAGGGGGACTGTGAAGGGCCAGCAGGACTGGGAGCAGACTGCTGCCATGGGCAGCAAATCTGCTCCTTCTCCTGCACCTCCGCACGTGTAGATGCCTTCCCACCCCACATCATTTGCATATGTAGACATTCCCACTGTGTGGTGAACTCATTTCACTTGTGGCTAATTTTGAATTCAGATCACTAGGTCACATAAATCTGGTGCTGTGTTATTTTGCTTTAAACCCTATTTTTGTGTCAGGCAAACATCTAGTTACCAAGAGTTTTCCATTAGCAGTGGAAAGGCTGCTTCCTCCACCTGCTTGCATGCAACTCTGCCCTAGTTTTTAAACAGAGAATGGAAGAAGGCAAAATAAAAGAAGAGTAACAATAAAAAACAAGATCTTAAAGAAACCAAAAAATGGAGCAGGAAAAGATCAACCAAAAAAAACCCAACAGGCAAAAAAAATCCATACACCACACACACCAGATGTTAGATAATGGTGCAACTGAGCATTTCTTTCCACTGCAGAAAGCAAAACATTTTCCACCATAGAGCCCAAAGACATGACCATATGAACTGTAGCATGGTCTAGGGCCTGCATGAGGTCCTAGTGCTTTCTTCTATGTGTAGATTATTCCCCTCAGCAAATGCTGGGTGTACACATACAGAAGCCTGCCAATCAACATATGGCAGGTCCCAGGAAGGGGAGCAGAAGCTAGCTCTTGCCATCCATAACAGGCATTTGCCTCTCTGTGCCTTGGCTGGTACTGCTGGTGAACTGCACATGCCCTGTGCAGATGCAGGCATACAGAACCACAGAAAGCAGCCAGCAACTTCATTAATTAAATGACAGCTCTCTGCTTTCCTCTTGGGATTGTGTGCACAGGAGCAAGTGGTTTTATTGGCCGACCACATCCAAGTTCCATTTGATAAATAATAAATAAATCAAAGATGACAATCCCCTTCTTTACTCATCTTTGTGGGATTCAGTTTGCTTTATTGGACAAACACATCTGAGCTACATGTTCTCATACCCCTCGTTGTTAAAACAGGGTTATGACGTGTGTCCCAAGTATTTTGTATTGTGGGACTCCAGCAGTGGAGCACATCACTGTTTGTTTTGCCATTTACTGACATCTGGCCCTTTGGTGCTGCACTCTAGTGAATAACCATGTGACCAAAAGGCACCGGTCTTTTAGATTTTGACCCTGGTTTGGGTACGGATATGCCAGGGCACTGTAGACAAATCATGTACAGATCCAAGCCTCCATTCAGAGGAGCAGAATGAGACTTGCCTCCTTTGAGGGATTTGTGAAACCTGGCTAAATGAATTGCATTTCAGGACATGATTTTCAAAAGCTCAGACACAATTCCCACTGAAGGCACGAGTCAGCTCCCTTTGGCACCTGGCAAAAGCCACATGCCAGTGCAAACTAGCCATGCTGGTGAATAGCAGAGGTGAGTACAAAACTCATGCTATCAGGCACTGGCCCCAGGTTGTCTCATTTTGGTTGTTGATCTCTAGTGATTCTTCTAATGCCGACTGTCTAGAGAAAGTGGATGTGGTATTTTAAAGACATCCAGCTCTTTCACAGTGAAGGGCTTGGTGGGCATATGCTATGCTACACATGCCCTCTGCACCTTCCTCAAAACCTAGAGATACATCAGTGGGGGCCTTTCCACCACACCCAATTTTTCAGAGGTGTCAGGACCCCCACGCTGCAGTGCAGATTGTGAACATTTAGCACCTCTGGAAAAGAAAAAGCTGTGGAGAAGGCTGGGGTGGGAGTGGGACAAGAGAAGGGGGAGGATGACACAGATACCAATCAGGGTTTTAGTCTTTAGCCCCTGCTTCTCTTTAATAACCGAGCTAATTATGAGCCTCTGAATTTGATATGCTTAATGCTTCCCCATCTCTCCATAGGCTTCATCTAGCATCAGATGCTCGCACTTGGTTAAGAGCTTTAAACAAAGAGGAAAAAAGCAGCCTACAGATAAGCTGACACTATAAGGCTGTTGCATGTGTGTGTGAGAGAGAGAGGCAATGCTCAGACACAGTGGCCAACAGCACACAGGTGAATTACTGTAAGTCAGTAACCAAGGAGACTAATTGGGGCTGCTAGAAACTGCATTGAACCTCATTGTTAATGCTCGAGTAGCTCAGGGAAATGAGATGCTGCCCACTGCACCCCTCAGCGTAGCGCCGGCATACAAGAACAGCTGGTCCAGCTGCACACAGGAAGGTCCTGGTCTCTGCAACTCCAGAGAGACTCCAAGGTAAATGGCATCAGAGGAGTTACTCCTGATTCACAGAGCAACAGGTAGCACACCATGCCTCAGCAGGTTCACGCCTTTCATACTGCTTAACAACAATGGACTCGAGTTTGCGGAAGGGATTTTTTTCTCCTTTCCTACTTGCTGAGCTCTGCGTCAACTAGCGCAGCAACATGTGGGCTGGTGCATTGTCACAGTGTGTCCTGGTCTGCTTGAATGCAGGAACTCGGGTTGGCAGAGCTAATTCAGTTTGAGTCCCTCTCTGTGCGTCATGCTCACACGTGCTATCATGCCAGATCCTGAGCTTAGTTACACAGGCATTCTCTTTCCAAAGAACTTCTAAACCAGATTTTACTACCATTTGAGTGAGATAAGAAGCAACGTCAGCTATGGTTGACTGTGTGCAGGACTTAAGGGCAAAACATTGGCTTCACATGCAGAGGAATTATTGTTTGGAATATTTTCTTTTTGAACCCAGAGGAGCCAACAATATCTCCCATAAGCCACAAGATGCTTAGACTCCTTAAAGGAGGGTGTTGAAGGGCTGGAGGGGACATATTCCACCCCAGCCCACAGAGATGGTATAATACTTCTGACCTGCCCAGAGTTAGAGTTGTAATAACGCTCCCATAAACTTAATAATGCTCCTGTGTTATTAGTTACATGTTTCCACCTCATCCAATTTTCCAGAGGTGTCAGGACCCCCAGGCTTCAGTGCAGGTTGCGGGCATTTAGCACCTCTGGAAAAGAGGGGATGGGGGTGGCAGGGAAGGAAAACATGCAGTTGTGAACAGCCAACCTATACCCTCTCATTGCAAAGGTGAGACCTATATAGCATTGGTATGGAGTCTACCTCTTTGTTGAATACAAAACGCCATATACTCTCTGGACAGCTGCACTGGATATGAGTGGGTACAGAACAAGATAATCATTGTAGAACCACTGAATTTTATGGGGTTTTTTGCATGGTTCCAAGGCACTTTGGGAAAAAATATAAGATTGTATTAAATCCCCAGTGACATGTCTCTCCTTTCACGGTTCTTGCAAATCTTTGTGCCTTTTGTGTGTGCACACAGAAGTTCTTCACTGTATCCTGTAGCATCTCTTCAGGTTTATATCACAAAAGACTTTAGAATTTTTAGCCCATCCAGTCCTGATTAAAAGAAGAATTAATAGGAAACTTATTTTTTGGAGATTACTTATAGATCTAATAAAAGTCACATTTGTAAAGGAAAATGCCTCAATCCTTAGAGCTCACAGTCTCCTGTTCTTCACACAGCTGCACTGCTAGTCTCAGCCTCAAGAGAAACTTCAATGCTGTTTAACAATTCATGCTAATCAGTACTTCCCTGCCACGATAAGTGAGAAGGAAATCTGCATTTGCTCTGCAGAGGAAATAATTACATGGCCTCCCTTTCTGCTCCTTCTTTAAAAGGTGCGTTGCAAGGAATGGAAAGAGCCAGCGTTGAAGAGGAAAGAGATAAGTATCCTTTTAAAGAGAACATCTCTCTTGCAAGTCAAATGGAAAATATATGCATCACTATATAACAGATAGAGCCAAACTGCACTTTCTGGCATTACTCCAGATTTACTTCAGAGCATTTGGCCCTTGAACTTTGGTTTCTTCTTGTTATGCCTGACATGATAGGAAGTATTTGCATAGCAGTTTCCATCATGAATAAATACATGCGATCGAAAAGAAGGAGAAGGACCAAGAGACCCACCTGGCTCAACAGAGACATTAGGGAACTTCTTAAAAAGAAAAAAGGAAGCATACATCCAGTGGGAAAATGGTTTGGGATCCAGAGAAGTGTATGCTTATGTGTCCAGGATCTGCAGACATGAGGCAAGGAAAGCCAAAGCATCCATGGAAGTCAAGCTGGTGAGCAAAATTAAAGATAACAAAAAATCCTTCTATAGGTACATAGGGACCAAGAAAAAATCAAGCTCCACTGTGGCACCCCTACAGAACATGGAGGGGAAGGCAACAGTTGCCCCCTGTGAAAAGGCAGAGCTCCTCAACAATTATTTTGCACCAGCATTCCTGAACCAAGGAACCTGGGAAATAATGGATTCCTCAGTACAGTGGGATACAGGAATGTGAAGGATTAATTCTCAAACAACAAAACCATGGAAGCTCATAGAGTTCAAGGAGTCATTTTGTCTTTCAGCACCTTGGACAATCACCGCCCCAGATCCCCTAACCGAACCGTTCCTTCCAAAGGGAATAGCACAAAAGCCATTGGAGTGGCTGGGGACAAGGAGGAAGATCCCCTCACTGACTTCATTGGCCTTTGCATTGGGTTTTATAACAAACTGTGATCCAGGGGTAGCTTGGAAAGTATTCACAGAGGGGTTGCCAAGTTGCTTCGGCACATCTTCAAGCAATAACACGGTTCTTAATAATGTCTCGCAGTTCTTAAGATATCTGGATGTTGTTTGGCCAGCTAAGCTCATTATTAGACTGGCACCTCCCTACACCCTCTGTTGCTGCTTCACCCTTCCAGTATGTAGGATTTCTTGTAAATTCTACCATACAGAGATTTGTGGATGTCACCACACGCAGGAAGAGGGACCATCTGAAGGGACAGAAGAAAACTGAAAACTCAGCTCAGAATGCAAGATTAGAGTGATGAAGGCAGCAGGAAGTCACAGTACAGCCAGTCTTCATAATACCAAACCTGAGACACAAAAGCAATGAAGTGGATGACAATTTTGTCGTTTTCTCCTTACATAAGTCCTCCCTGAGCAGTTTCAAAATGGTGTGAGTGTATTCATTGTCCAATTCTTCACTGAATACATCCTTTCTCTATAGGCTATTCCCATGCTTCTGACTGCAAGAAAGAGATTTAAGGTGCACCAGCTAGTTTTGATAAGGCATGGGGTATGGAAGTGCAACGTGTGACCTGACTGGATAAACAGGTTCTGTGCATGACTCTCAAACTCCAGCTCAAATAAGAGAATCTGGGCAATTCAGGTTACTTACAAGTTTAAGTAACTATTTGTGGAAAGACTTGTTTTGCAGCATGTGCTTCACGCTGACCTTAACAAGGCTGTTTCCCCACTGCCAAGCACTGTAATTGCAGAGAGAAAAGATGATATCAGGGCTGGAAACCGTCTATAAGAAGTGTGGTTTAAAAGCGAGTCTGTTTGTTAGATGGCAGCAGTACTTACTTCAGTGTCGCAACAATGGCTGAATCCAACCACAGAACACCTCAAACTGAGTTAACGGGCATTCTGGATCCTACTTAGTGAAGGAGTGCTTTATAACCCATATTGTGTTTGGAAAAAATGCTCTATTTAAGTCTCAAGTAAACACAATGGACTCACTGCCTTACAAGGAGAGTAAATAACTGGAACTGCTACAGAATTGCATGTCCTCTGCCCCAGATAAGCTTGTCATCATTGAACTTGCCCAGTCTCCCCTCTCATATTAATACTCTCTATTGTAATAAGGATTCCCAGCCATCATCAAGATTCAATTTGCACTATTTACTTTAATGACCTCATTTGTCATCTTCAACTGCTTGTTTACTGCTGGAAGTGTAGTACTGTCACCCTGACAGAAGACTTCGCTTCCCCCCACCTCCTCTATTGAAGATGCAGCGGACATGATATACCTTTACTTTAGCAAGGCTTTAGATACGGCCTCCCACAGCATTCTTGCAAGCAAGCTGACGAAGTACAGGTTGGATGAATGGATGGGGTGCATAGAAAGCTAGCTAGATCAATGAGTAATGATCAATGGCTCAATGTCTAATTAGCAGCTGGTATCAAATGGAGTGCCCCAGTGGTTGGTTCTGGGGACACTTTGTTCAATATCTTGGCAGAGTGCACCCTCAGCAAATTCAGTTGACACCAAGATGCGGAGAGTAGTAGATATACTGGAGGGCAGGGCTAGGATTCATAGATACCTTGATAAATTATAGGACTGGGCCAAAGGAAATATCATGAGGTTCAACAAGGACAAGTGCGAAGTCCTTCACTTATGATGGAAAAATCCCATGCACCAGTACAGGCTTGGGACCAGGTGCCTAAGCAGCAGCTCTGTAGAAAAGGACCTGGGGGTTACAGTGGACAATAAGCTGAGTATGAGCCAAGAGTGTGTCCTTGTTGCCAAGAAAGCTAATGGCATACTGGGCTGCATTAGTAGGAACGTTGCCAGCAGACTGAGTAATTATTCC